GTGAAGATGGAAGCTGTTGGGACTGGGTAGAGTAGAGGAATTGGACGGTGACTTGAAATTTTAAGGCATGCGGGTAGCGAAGCTCAAGGTGGACGATTGTGAGATTGAGAGTGATGATGATGCTGGTGGATTTTTGTTGGGTCGTTTGGACGGAGACGGGGAGTTGGCGAGGGCCTGTGTGGAGAGGAGGGGACTGGGATGGAGATGGAGAGTTGGCGAGGGCCTGTGGGGAGAGGGGGAGAGGAGGGGAACGGAATAGGGATAGGGATGGGGATACGAATCTGTGAAGGTTGATACAAGTTCGTGGAATCAAGTGAGTATTACTACTCCTTTGTTTGTTCACCAGATTATTGGTATATGTACCTACACAAGCATAGGCAAACCTGGTGTCTTGAGTCTCGAGCTTGAGTCTAAGTCTGAGTCTAAGTCTGAGTCTAAGTCTGAGTCTGAGTCTGAGTCTGAGTCTGAGGCTGAGTCTTGACTTCCACCTTAACGATCATGACTATTTCACCGCTACACCTCCCTCTCCCTCTCCATCTCCTCTCCACCTCTCCCTCCATCGCGCACACCGCCTGCCTATACCTACCACGTCTCCCTCCCCCTCATCTTACTACAAACCAACGACCTATATCACCAATCTACATAGAAGACTGATACCCCACAAAATCCACCATCGATCTTCGGATCTCAGGATATGTCGGTGTGGTGTAGTGGTAACATATGTTACTATCGGCTCTTTGGCGGGTGTAGCTACCACCCGCCTCAGAGCCGATGGCAACAGGACTCGGGTTCGACTCCTGACGCTGGCCTGAAGCTTGGAATCGTGGATAGGGAATGAGTATTTTTGGGGGTAAGAGAGGGATGTTTTTTTTTGGGTAGTTTCTTGTGGGGTGGGTATAGGAATATTGGAATGAGGGAATGAGGGGTGCGGGGGATAGAAGAGAGTGAGAGAGTAAGAGTTTATAATTATAGGTAGATGATGTGTGTATCTATAGGGTAGGTGGTTTTAACAGAGTGTTCGGGTGAAGGGGAATAGGAAATGGAATGGGGTGCTTGTTTGTGAAGAGGAAAATGGTGGGATGCTTAGAGTTGGTTTAAAGGTGCTGGTACGGAGTAGAGATCGGTTGGGGAAAGTTCTTGGTTAGATTCACTAGCTTTGGTCGCGCTGTTAGACTAGTTTCGTTTATGGGTAGAATGAGGGCTGTCAGCCTCGTCCTCGTCCCACCTCTCCTACTTGGGCTTAGGTATCGGCCCCCAAATCAGAAACACGAACCCTGCGCCCACAACCGTCGCCAAAGATCGAACGATGGCATTCAATCGGACCCCAACATGGGCGACCAAATCTTTAATCGGTAGTACAGCGTTCTTCCAAAATTACACCAGTCGTGACGGACCGTTATGGAGGCACAGGAGGATCCACAACCCTATCGTTCCCTAACTCAACAGCCACAGCCTCATTGGCCCGCCCGTATAGAAGGATCACCTACTACGCATTGACAAGCACAAACCCATATTCTTCACGACAGACGTCATACAGAGGAACACCTCAATGAGCTAGTCGCGACTTGTGCCTGTCTGAGCGTTTCAGTATGAGAAGCTTAAAGCAAAGAACCTCGCCCTGTGCCTCACCTTCTCGATTCCCAAACCTCGAGACCTCGAGGCTCCGAGAAGCAAGTCAACACTACAATCAAGCTTGATCTGGTGGCCGACAACTTCATAAGACCATTGGATGGATTGCAAGTGATCGCACCCAACAACGATAGCTGCATGCCATGGCACCGCGGCATGGTACCTGCATCCCTCCCAAACTGTAGCCCTCAAAGCCGACTAACACGGGCCAGGCATCGTCGTATACCCAGGTGCCGCCATTGACTACAGCGCACTCACGCGTCCAGCACTGCCAAGCTCTCTATCCACCTCATCTCGCTCTGCCTCGCTCGCGCGCCGCAAAACCAATGTCGGCGGCGTGGCCTTCATAGTCATCCTCGTCCTCTGTCTGGTCGGCGCGCTCAGCATCGCCATTCTCGTCCTCGTCATCCTGCGCAACAAGCGTGCGCGCCGCAAGCGCGAGGCGCAGCCGAAACAGCAATCGGAGGGTGTGCCGTTTGTGACTCCGGCGCCGAACAATACCTCGTTGGGGTATCAGTCGGACGGTGTTGGGGCGATGAGCTATGATGCGGGGAATGGGGATGGGAATGGCGTGCGTGGAGGTGTACAGGAGTTGCCCCAGGATAATTATCTGAAGGATGGCACGGGGGGAATGTATCCGGGTCCGGAGTTGCAGGGCGAGGAGAATGAGGTCCCAAGGGTGCAGCAGTTGGATGGGTTTGTGGCGCCGCCGAGGATTGGGGAGAGTCCGGTTGAGTTGCCGGGGCAGATGGGTGGGCGTGAGAGATGAGAGAGAGAAGAGGGGGGAAGAGGAGGTTAGCTTTTTGTATTATGATACCCTGGAAATGAGTAAAATTTATCAGTTGGAGAATAGTACGGTTGTGTCTTTTGTGCTAGTGTGGAAGGATTAGGTGCGGAATTGCATTGAAGATTGACCCCTATTAAGAAGCAACCCCAGGAAGAATGCCGAACAAGGTTATGTATTCTGGCTAAGTCGTGCAACAAACCTGGTGTTATGGAACGACGCAGGTAGTACGGGGACCTGTACGCAAACAGACGGCTTATATTGCACGTCGCCACGTCGGAAAGCACTCTAGGTACCCACAATAACTTAGAGCCTATCTATCCAAGTCATCCCCTGATGTACCATTGTGACCAGACTTTGAAAAGGATGAGAGACGTGATGGTAAGCAACAGACTATCACGACCTGCAAAAACCCAATTGCAAAAAGGTCGGCGTGCGAGAATCGAACCACAGTTACCCCTGGAGCCTCCAGATACCTTGTAGGAATCCATGCTCTCCTACCGTAGGCGCGAGGGTTTCCCTGTCCTCGATCCTCCTCTCATACCCATAAGGTACCGTTGCGCCTCGGCTCTACGGCAGGGAGGGGCGTTCTACCACTGAACTACACCGACGATGATAGGGAAGTTGGTGGTGACTTTTGTATGTTTTCTTCGACTTAAGGGGTAAGGGGGGATTGGTATGTAATGTGCTAAGTAATAAGATTCACGACGAATCGCGTGTAGAGAATGGGGAGCGAATAGATGGGACTGGCGAAGCCTGTGTGTCGCTTGTACATATGTGTGATAGGAGATGTGAGGGAAGAGGGGGAGATGGAGGGGAAAGTCGGTAGTTCGTATCACGATACCTCCAAGTGCATAATAGAGTTGTTTCACGATTTGGAGGTGCTTGTAACGGTGTTTCTGTGCGTTCATTAGAGAGTTGCACGATAGGATGCATGAATTCCTCCGGAAGTGATACAAAAATTTTCAGCGTGATGGGGTGAGATGGGTAGTACGAAGGGCTGTGTAAATTCAGAAGGGTGATGTTATACTGGTATACATTACACTGACTGCTATCAATGTCTATAAAAGTAGTAAAATGGTATGATGCTACAGTTACTCGGAGCTTCCTTCTGCAAAAGTTCCCATTTGATTTCCTCTGCTTGTATGCATGCTGGAAGCTCGGACGTAGAAGTCATCATGGTTCTTCGCAGTACATCTACAATACATTTTACCATTCTGCCATATCGAATGCATCATTATATCGAGTTTAATCTCAGGCTCCAGGAAATGACAAAAGAAAGGATGAATAATCCGAGCAAAACAAGACAATTCCCGTCCAAAAAAAAGGTCGGCGACAAGGAATCGAACCTGTAGCAACTCAACTTCCGCAGACGAGTCCGCAGGTCATCAGTTATGTTACCATTACACCACACCGACGTAAGGTGAAGGTCAGCATCAGTAATCGAACTCTGAATCTCGACATCTGCAAGGCCTGGGCCGAGCCAGCAAGGACCGAGCCGAGCCATTTGACGTCGTGTTCTACCATTGAACTATACTGACTGTAGGATGGAATTAGGGATGGTTTGGAATGCTGTCAAGCTTCTAATAGACCGTTGATCTTTTCAGTATAAACATGGAAGGAATGATAGATCTTCTAGTTCTCGGATACACCGCCTGCCCTACTACAAGGACGCGGCGGTGAGCAACTGTTCTTTGCCTAGTTTTTGTCCCTCTCGCGAATGTTCTACATCATCCCGGTAGACGATGGGTTTAACACCTATCAAGGCAGATACACATTGAATGAGAATGGACTCGCTTTATGGATACTATTCTTTGTTTGACTCATCGGTCTGAAGCCACAACGGCCAATATAATAATAAGTCTCCTATATTTCCAAAAGTATTGCCAACGCCGGTCGCAGATAGAGTTTGGGCTACTTGAGTTCGTAAACTAGCAGCTTCGTCCGTCTGTATTATCGGACTGCAACGACAGTGAGACATACGTTAACGGTATCTGTCTCTGTGTTATCTTGCTTGAAGAGCACGAGCCATCGGAGATTGAATGCTGCCTTCATCTCCTCTCTACTTTACCTTGGGCACGACTAGGGGCCTGCAGTGATCACTTGTAGTTTCTTTGTATCAGATTCAGTGTTGAACTCTGCTGTATATTATTGTAGACTCGCTAATTGTAGCCACTTTTGACGCTGAATGCCTATATGGCATCCAACGAGGGAACAAAATTCTCACAATCACAGACGAACAAGAGAAAAGAAGGAGGAGAAATCAATCAATCATATCATATCAATCATATCATAGTCCCACACGGACCTTATTCTTGTCGTGGAAGTGCGCGATCACCGACAAACACGACTTATGCTACCACTACACCACACCAGCATATTATAAGAAATGACAGACAAACTCGCACAGACATAGGACACCCCCGCTATAGCAATCTATCTACTACTGAACTGCAATGACGATCGTTGAAGAAGGACGGTAGTGACATGTGCACTTACTATTACCCTTCTGATAGAGTGTAACAGAACGAGGCACCATCAAATCCATGAAAACCCAAAAATGAAAAGACGAATCCGCTGCCAAAATGGCCAGCATCCCGAATCGAACGAGAGCCTTCCAATCCCGCAGAGTCAGAGACCCCACCATGGATGTTTTACCACTGAACTATACCGGCGGTGATTAATGTTGATGATAGTCTGCGTGTATCATCTTCCCAGTGACACTAGTGTTCTTTACCGTCCTGCATATATTGCAAATCGGCATTTACACCATGCTATCCGTTGGAAGGCGGTGGGCGGTCTACGTCGAGGCGGTCAACTATGATGTAGTCAAGGACTTCCAGTAAGGCCGCTTCTTCAGGATCAGGTATCCCACGCCTCGACAACACCGACTGTCTCAAGTGACAAGACGACAAGAGGAGTATTTGCATGTTCTCTATGCCAGAATCCCTTTTCGTGATCAATTACTCACGTATCCACACTACTAGAACCCAGCAACACGACGCCGACCTCGTTATCTGAAGCCCGACAATCCAATCTCGTCCTTGACGCCGGCGTCAGGACTTGAGTCTCGTTGATGTCACACCTTTCCAAGTGTTATACTTCCTCTACACCGAAAGTGAATTGTTCACAAGCTAGGATGTGGTGATATACACTTATAGTGAGTGTCCACTGCACTTCGCTCAGATGTTTATTTCGCCCTGCCTAGGATCGCATCGCGGAATTTGACTTACGCAGGAATCGGATGGTCACTGAGAAGGTGCATGTTCACCGGCCGGCGTCCGTTTACTATCATCGTTCGGTGGAGCTGTGGATGCTTAGGACTCCCGATTGGTCTAGTCTACTTTTCACTGGTGTAGGGTTTACTCCTCGTGTAAGCCGGTAGCTGACGGTATAGTCTGTAATAGGTCATCCGCACCGCTGTAAGCACTACATTCGCGTCCTGCCATTGACATCGAAACGGTCCTGTCTTGGCCTCTGCATCGCGCAGCAATCAAGGATTGATCGAGGAGCGAAACCTTGTGGCCTTTCGTTTGATATAAGGATCCTGTCGGCGGAATTGCGTCCAACAAGTGTCAATATGAAAAGCGGTCCCCGGAACGAAGGCAGTCCCTGTCTCAGGTGTCGCAAGTACGACCGGAGCATCGGCGGTGTACGACATGGTCAGCAAAACTAAACACAAACACGACGTCCGTTATACGAAGAGTGGCAGCCATCCATCAAATATAACCAGCCCGGATCGCCGCGAAGGATGCTTCATGTGATTCCGCCAATCCACGCCCCACCCGTGGACCCTCCAATTACGGCTAGAGATGAACGATGGCAGATCGCCAGGCTAGACAGGGCTCCACCCCTCAAGCTTTTGGACAGCGACCCTGGAGATGTCATGAGCTGTCGGCGGGGTAGACAACCGTCAACCGTTGACGTTTCTTATCTCTCCGATGCGAAACGAAAGCGAGGAGGCACTCTACAAAAGCTACACCTCCAGGATTGGCGGCTCTCCGGGTCATAGGTATCTCCTCTTATACGCCCATCCCGCAGCCCGGTGCGCCATCGGTGCGGAAAGCCGATCGCCAGTTCCCTCCCGGGATCTCGTCGCAAGCCATGGCTCTTCGGAGGAATGTCCCCCTCCTCCGCTTCGACCCTCGATGATGACTGCGACATTCCGTATGCGCCCCGTCACACGGCGTATCATGCCATGTCGTGCGCCCACGCCCTCCCTGCAGCGGCCGTCGGCCTTTTTCTCAAACGCGTATCTGGGCCCAGCGTGAGTGAGCCGTAAGCAGAAAACGAACGAGGGCGCGCGATGGATTGAACGACAGACGCTGGACGCTCAGCTCGCGACATCACAGGGGTTCATGCCGCGCAGATGGCTGGGGCGCATGCGCCTCCCTCGCATTGCATACGGTAGATCATAGCGTCTATCTGACAATGGCCACGTTTAATAATAGTCGTCACCGGCCGTCGTTGTTGTTTCTCGACATTCCTTCATTCCGACCTGGCTGATTGTAATCTGTCCCTTGTGCCTTCGTTGGAGCCGCCGGTTGATCGCGGGTGTGCAGGCGGAGCGACCCTGGGCATGACATTGGCTTCACTTGACGATGCTGTTGTCGCGGGTGCGGTTTGAGCGGTTTAGTATTCTTTTTGGGTGCGCGTTTGCGCTGCTGCTATTCGGCTTCTATCATTCCGCTGCATCCAGGCGTGGTGGATATACAGAGAGCGAGGACTATGGCTATGACCGCGACCTGTAAGGAACCAATGCCCGAAGGATTCGAACAGACAAGCTTTGGGATGTCGCGCATAAGATGCTGACGGGCGATAGGCACAGCAGTCCGAAACCACCAGAGCCTGCGCCGCTCCACGACCTGCTGGAGGAGCTCTTCAAGCCCATTCGACATGACTTCTCCTCGCCCTTCGTAGACCCCTCCGGTTCGGGAACGGTATACAAGCATTCGAACAACATCTATACTACGCCCCTCCGGAAAGATATTCTGATACTCGATGTCGACACGCGATATCCAGAGCAGCTGTTCGAGCGCAACAAGCCATTGAGCTGGGAGAAGCTCGACAACAACAACCTGATAACGCAAGCCGTCTTCAACCACTACATATACGCCAAAATCCACGGCTACGACTACCACTACTACCAACCGCTCGAGGTCCCCGGCCACTCCAAGACCTGGCCGAAAAGTAGGTCTCATCTCGTCCCGTCTCGTCTCGTCTCAGCCTCATACGCCCCCTCATCCCAGCCATCCATCCCTACCACGCAATCCTCACTCTCCGCACCCTCCCAGCTCGCAGCTCCCCTCCTATACTCCCCACTAACACCCCCACCCCAGTCCACTCGATAGCAAACCTACTCCCTTCCTACAAATTCATCGTCTTCCTCGACGCCGACGCCTCCTTCCACCACCTAACCCTCCCGCTGGAATGGCTCTTCAACCGGTGGAACATCACCTCGTCCACCTCCCTCGCCATGTCGCGCGACCCGCTAAACGCCGACTGCGACCTCTGCGACAAGCGCGGCATACCCATGCTCAACACGGGCTTCATCATCGCGCAGAACATACCCTACACCTCGCGCATCTTCGCCGCGTGGCGCTCGTGCACGTCCGCGCCCCCAAACTTACCGCCCTCGTACGCCGAGTGCGCGCACTGGAAGGAGAACTGGGCGCATGAACAATCTGTAATGTCAGAGTATCTGCGGTACGATTTCAATCCGACCGGCCACGAGATCAGGGAGTTGGAGTGCGGCGAGGCGAATGGGTTTCCGGGTCATCCGTGGTATGATGAGGTGGATTGTCGCGGCAGGTTTGTGAGGCATCATACGTTTTGGAAGGCGCTGATGAAGGAGACGACGGCGAATGCGACGATGCAGATTGTTATGCAGGCGCTTAAGCAGCGGTTTGTGGAGGGCGGTGGCCTTGGCGTTGTGGTGGAGGAGGGGAGGGGCGGTTTGGGTGGTGGGGAGGGGGATCGTGAGAGAGGTGTTGGGAAGTGGGGAGAGGGGGGGCGGTTGAGGAGTGAGACGTTTGATCATGTGTAGGGGGAGAGAGAAGCGGGAGGGTGTGTGGGGAAGCTAGAAAGGCATTGGATTGGGTTTGGTTGGATATCTCTTTGATTTCGCATTTGGGATTGGGATATGGGGGAAAAGGAACTGCACGGAAAAGGCGTTTCGTCACATTTACATTGTCATTCATCACTCGCATTTATCGTTTTGCATGTAAGATAGACATTCTTCTCATTCTTCATCGTTCGTAGCACTAGCTTACACCAGTAGGCCTCAAGATACCCATGACAATCCATTCCAAAAGTCGGATACATACATCTGCAACCATAACACCACATCACACCACATTACATCCACCCAGTCTCCAATCTCCACTCACGGTCTCCACCCCCCCGTCCTCGTGCGAAACAACCCCTGCGGATCAACCTCCTGCTGCACCCTCTTCGCCAACGCGCGACTCTCAGGCCTCAACCTGCCCCAGTAATCCTGCCTATAGAACCCATAATTCATGAACAGGGGCAAGTACGCATCCGGCAGCGTGCCGTCGGCCTGCCACGCGACGACGCGATTGCGGACGCCCGAGTACGTGGCCTCGGCGACGTCGGCCATGGTGTCGTACGGCGTTACCGGCAGGAAGCTGTAGTTCATCTCGATGATGATGCGGTCTACCGAGTCGTCTGCGTCGATGAGATCCGGGCCGTTGGCTTTGGCTTGCCGGGCTATGGCCTTCGGGAACGGCTGCCAGGCGATCGAGGCCACGATGCCGGGGACTGCGAGCACGGTGTCCGACACGTTGCGCCAGTGGGCGTGCAGGCCGTCCATGACGGTTTGCTTGTTGGCTGCTGAGGGCAGCGGGATCGTCTCGGTGGCTATGTCGACGACCTCTGCTTTGACAATGACCCAGTTGCTGTCGGCCATCAGGTCGGCGTACGTGCGGGTACGCGTCGTGTCGAGGGTGTGCGGCAGGCTGGTGAAGTTGGTGAAGATGCCGGCTGGCGGAGTCGCGCCGTCGTAGAAGAGGAAGAGGATCCAGGAATCGATCAGGTCGACATTGCCACGCTCTCCGGTGACGATGACGGCAGCTTTCGGGTCGGTGTTGTACTCGGCAAAGTCTCGCACTGCTCCAAGGAGCGAGCTGTCCAGGGAAGGCGTGCGCACAGCGAATACCAAGTTGCCTCCCCATACATCCCCGTTCTTGATGGCCTGCAAGTGGTAGTTGGTGATGATGCCGAAGTTGTTGCCGCCGCCCTTGAGCGATTTGAACAAGTCAATGTTCGAGTCCCGGGTCACGTTCGCAACCGTGCCGTTTGCAAATACAATCTCGTACTTCTGAACCATCGATGCGGCCCAGCCAACCTGTGCGGAGAAGTAGGAGAGGCCTCCGCCCAAGACCAGTCCACCACTAATTTATGTTAGAAAGGAGTCTGATCAGAACAATAGAAGTATGCCTACACTCCGGTGTTTCCGATTCTACCACCAACAAAAGTCCAGCCACTGCCCTGCAATTTGGCAGCAATGCCATCCAAGCGGTTCCCCGGCCCCACATCGACGATACCCGTCGCAGTGTCAATGATGGCCTGGTCCATCTTCTCGGTCGAGATCAGCGGCCCGCCGTCAACACTTGAGAAGTAGTTGTTTGGGTTGTGGCCACCAGACTTGACCGCA